GCGTTCAGATGATCAAAAACCAAATTCTTAGGTTTTACACATATAGTATACTCTTACATTGCAGTTTTTGTATTTTTTCTAAGAAATGAGATATTTTCCTGGGGTAAAAAGTATCCTTTATGTTGACCCGGATAACCAGCTATCATCATACCAAATTTCATCAAAATCGATCCAGTGGTTTTCTCGTGATGCGGTAACAGACAGATAGACAAAAATTCTAAAAACTGTAGATTCGGACTCTGTATAATGTCTATTTCAATAAGATTTTCCAAAAAATATTTAATGTACAGATTCGACTTATGGGAAAAGACTCTCTCCCGTGACCCGTGATTTCTGTAAAGCATTCGAAACGTCGTGAACCAGAAATCCAAATAAATCCGCAAAATAATCCGAAAAGGTAGTTTTATTTAAAATGTCAAATATTCGCGTAATTCTAAGAAAGTATTATAATATATTTCTTTACATAAAAAAACATTAAGTAAATTATCTTATTATTAATATTCAGAGACTTGTCGAGACAATTTTATGTTAGCATTCAAAATAATTGTAATATTAAATACAAATGACGTTACTCAATAGTAGGTACGGCCGTTGTGTTCCGGTACAATGTTACATTTCCAAACATCGGTTACAGTCCACATTCTTAGATATCGCTCAGGTACAGTAACTGTATGAAATGACGGAAGCTGCAGTTTCGTAATCTTTACGATCTACATTTTAGCCAATGAATTACACAATATTGTTATAAATTTTTAAATTATTGCCATTGAAATTGATTTTTTAAAATAAAAGTATCTTTTCGGATTTTTTCGCGGATTTATTAGGATTTTTGGTTCCCGACGTTTCGAATGTTTTACAGCAATCATGGTCACGGGAGAGACTGAGGTGTTAGATGTCTCGAAGGTATAGTTGTTACGGACAGCCTACCTACAAATAACAAAATGAAAGTTGCACCAATTACCTTACAATATTTTTTAACTTTAAACATTTTTATAATTTTAATTAGTTTTCAACCGACTTCAAAAAGGAGGAGGTTCTCAATTCGACTGTATTTTTTTTTGTAATTGAATATGGAATATTATTTATTTAATTTTTGCTGTTATTATCTTTATTATCATCTGTTAAACGTCGGGAACCAAAAATCCAAATAAATCCGCAAAAAAAATCCGAAAAGATAGTTTTATTTAAAATGTCAAATATTCGCGTAAATCTAAGAAAGTATTATGAAATTGAATTGTTGATTTAAAAAAAAAATCTGTCTTTCCTTAAAGATCCAAATAATCTAAATTATTTTACTTGTAGCCTTCATTTTTGAAATACGTACTTAGTTCAAGACTAAAATTAAGTTTTGAATGTTAGAATTAGAAATTTAATATTGTTATATGGTGGTGCTTACATCACAATTTACTTAATGTTCACACATCTAAAATATCAACCTTTTGTTAATGTTAATAAAAGGAAGTGGTTTCAGTATTATATTATAATAACGCATAGTCATTGTAAATAAAAATATGTATAATGATCAATTATTATGTGACGACAGATCGATACTTAATTGAGTAGGTAAACTACATATATATATATATATATATATATAAATATATATATATATATATATATATATATATATAAATGTATACTTATAGGTAAAATAATTGAATCGCGTTAATAAAATAACGTGATAATTAATGTTTATCGTTAAAATACGCCAGTAATGTTCACTTATCAATTTCATCACAACAGAAATCTCGGGTTGGAATCCCGAACGAGCAATTAATATTTATTTTGATCATATTTGCTCTGTTTATGACATAATATTATTATTGTACCGCAATATGTATGAGTTATAGGATATTGATGAAGCTGGATTTTTTTCTTATCTAATAAGGGTGGATGGTATGCGATGACGAAAATACGAGCCTAGGATAAAAGTGCGGTTTTTTTTAAATAATCGCTAAACAATAAAAAAATAAAAAAATAATAAAAAAATAATAATATATATATATATATTTTAATAGTGTTGCTTAGTAAGTTGTTTTTAAATAATAGCAAACTAAATTAAAATGGTTATCCGTAATTAATTTTAACTTTTTAAATTACACATAGAACAATTATATGGCTTTAATAATTAATACTATATTTTTATATTTTTATTTATGGTTATAAATATAATAATGGCAACACTAAATATAGATTACTAATTAATATTTTTAAAATTGTAGTAATTATAAAAATAATAGCAAAAATTAAATAAATAATTTTCCATATTCAATTATAATTAAAATTATAAAAAATGTTTAAAGTTAAAAAAAATATTGTAATGTAATTGGTGCAATTTTCATTTTGTTAATTGTGGGTAGGCTGTCTGTAACAACTATATCTTTAAGACATGTAACACCTCAGTCTCTCCCGTGACCATGGATGTTGTAAAGCATTCGAAACGTCGGGAACCAAAAATCAAAATAAATCCGCGAAATAATCCGAAAAGATAGTTTTATTTAATAATGTCAAACATTCGCGTAAATCTAAGAAAGTATTAAATAATAATGCATAGATTAAATAACTCGTATTAAAATACATATTGTTGGGCTGCATTTTTATTTGTTGGTATCGATTTTTAAATAAAAACTAACACCTTGTTATCGATCAACGATCTCTCGAATCTCGATTGCCGAGAACGAGATTCGATCGTCAGTGTGGATCGCAAAGTGGTCGGGAGCGGACGTACGCTATCGGGTAGATAGTCAGCGCGTGCGCATAACCGCGTTATAATATTTTCTACTTTTTGTCCGTGTTATATAATAGTGATGTGCTAATTGATTTATGGATGTATGTTTTTGTTACTGGTAACTTGTATTGGTTTACTTATTTTTAACCGACACTGACCGCCCGGTTATTTCTGGGTTTGTTTTAACGTCCCCGTGTAATTAGCGACATGTCGAATGTTAATTTTCTAATACGAAAAGAATTAATGTATGTATAACAATAAATAATATAAAGATATAAAATACTCCCAGTATACTAAAAATCTGAATTTAGTTTTGTTTGTGAACACGATCCATTATAATAAATAAGTAATTTTCGATTATAACATTATTTATTAATTAATGTGTTTGATATTTGATTATTACATTTAAATCGTATGAAGAGTTCTAATGTACTCAAAATAAAAAAATAAGCAATCGATGTAAAACAAAAATACACCTGAAGATAAAGAGATAAGATTTGACAACATGAGAATTGGTTTATCATAATAATTCATCTTATCTTCGTAGAACATTGAGACCGAATTACGCACTGCTATTATCTTTAGGTTTAGATTTATTTTTTGGATAAAATCTAGAACTTTTCCATCCTTTTTGTCTTTTTTTTAATTTACATTTTTTTAAGATTAAGTAAAACTTTCTCGATCAACTTTAAAAAGATCGTCTAAAAATTCGGGTGAACTTTTTGATGAAAATAAGTCAGTGGTGATATATCTAAACATGTAGTCTATACATATAATAAAATTGTAACAAAACCGAATCTGTACATTAAATATTTTTTGGAAAATCTTATTGAAATAAACATTATTATTGATGCAGAGGCCGAATCTATAGTTTTTAGAATTTTCGTCTGTCTGTCTGTCTGTTACCGCATCACAGAAAAACCACTGGAGGGATTTTGATGAAATTTGATATGGTGATAACTGGTTATCCGGGTCAACATATAGGATACTTTTTACCTCGGTAAAATTCTAATTCTCATTTCTAAGAAAAAATACAAAAACTGCGATGTAAGAGTATACCAATATGTAAAACCTAAGAATTTGGTTTTTGGTCATCTGAACGCGGGCGGAGCCGCGGGCAATGCTAGTAATTAATTATAAAGTGAAAATTATTATTTTTCTAATTTAAAAATTTACTTTACGTAAAACGTAACACATAAAACTTATGTAAAACCTTAATATCTCCTATCGACTTAAACATTCTCTAAGTAAATATTTCTTAAAAAATTAACACAACAACTAAACCTCTTGCTTAAACTTAATTACCTCTCAAGTATAAAAATAAAAAATTCGAAACAATTTAAATTACCTCATAAACGACTTTAAAATCGATTATAATCAAAACGAATGGCACGTTGTTAAATCGCAAGCAAAATTAAAAGACAATTTCGCTAAGTACCTTCTAGATTTAACATTTTTCAATCTCGCTAATAATACCTTATATAACAATAACTATGTTACGTTACATAAATCTAATTTAGTTATTTGGTACACTGTCGAGTCATGAACATATATTTAGATGCAATAGCCGTTGTAAATTTTATGCCATGACAGTGTAAGCCCATTAAAGTACACGTCGTAACAAAAATAACAGCTAATTTTGATTTTACTATACATATGACTAAAAATCGATATTCTGTGAAATAATATTATGTCTTGATAAAGAATTATGTTTATCGATTGCTATTCTTAAGAGTTATTTATTGTTATTAATTGTAATATAAATGAAGAAAAATATATAGGTTCTATTACTAGAAAAGCCTAGTGAAAATGCGTAATGGATGACTTTATAATAAAATATCTTGGATATTTTACAGCTTTAATCTATACTTAATATTATAAAGAGGTAAAGTTTGTGAGTTCGTGACATTGTAGATGGTAATCTCTGGATCTACTAAACCGATTTAGATGAAATTTGATAATAAGATAGTTTGAGATCCTGGGAAGGACATAGAATACTTTTTATCCCGGAAATCATCCCTTAAGGGGGTGAAAATCGGGATAAAAGTTTGTATGGGCAGTCAACAAATCAATAAGTAATCCGATAATAATCAAGTCAAAAATATCAAAAAAGCTAGGCAAAGGTCCGTTTAGAATGCTTTACAGAAAACATGAAAACTTTCATTTAAAGTGTCAAATATTCACATAAATCTAAGAAAGTATTACGCAAAAGCAATTATTTATCAATATATTAATAGTTTTATCTCTTTACAGGTAATTAAAATGGACACTAATATTCAGTGAAGTGTAGTGTAGTGACGGTATAGTGAAGGTACAGTGATGTCAGCATGCCGTCGGACGGTACCACGTGGTCACCCCCGGCGCCCAGCGAGCGGCGGCTTAGCAACTCTTCAGATGGAAGCGCAGGCAGTGGATATTCTAAGGCTGTAAGTCCAATATAATATTAACAATTAAACTAATAGAATATATCACAGTCTACTAATCCATACAGTCGTCTAACCAAGGCTTCTAGGCAGGGAGGGTTGTGAGACGTGAATGACGTGATACCGACTGCCAAATTCAATTCTCTTGTTCTCAACTGGCACGCTTTGAAGTTAACAGCAGAATTGAATTTTCTTCTTAATTGCTTCAAAGGTGCTAGTTGACCACAGATTACTTCGCCAATGTCACGTAGAATGGCGAATACATACTTAATTTTATACCTATGACATTCAAGAAACGGCTTTAGGTAGCATATATATAATGGTAACATGCCACGAGATATCACTATAGCGCTTTTATTTCGAAGCCCTTTACTATGAAAATTGATTGCGGGTAAAGAAAATGAAATGCGAATAATCTTTCGTAATTTTTTGTATAGCTAGTAATGTGATGGTAATCCTATTATAAAATTTTACAAAGAAGGTGACTCATTATCAATGAAAAATGTGATGTTTTTATGAGTTGGCTTTTAAATATATAATTTTATTAATAAAAAAATATCAAAAATAGCCAATAGGACTTGCAACTTGACCATGACCTATGAAAATATTCTTAAAATTAATTTAAACCGTGAAACTATGACACACAAATCAATGTCGTGTTAGTTTCTAATAATACCTTGTAAAAATTAGAAATCTGATAGAGGTTTAAACTTTATAGGTTACATTTTCTTCATCATGTTGTTGTTTGCTTGATGCTGCTATATAGTGTACAGTAATTTTTTTTATTAACACAATTGAAAATGCATTAAATAATAATTATTTTTAATGCATTTTCAATTATTACTTAGTCACTTCTAAACTAAGACTGAGGATGCTATAGGACTGACAGACAAATACATTTTATTATTATACTTAGGTACTAATATTGTAATTGTAAAATTGATCGTCTGTTATCTTTTCTTGCTTACACCGCAAGGCAAGGACATACATCGCATCTTGGGATCGAACATAGGCTACCCTTGATGACTGCCCCACTTATAACGCGAGAGAAACCGCAGGCAATAACTAAGTTATTCTATAAGACGGGAAGTCTTTCTCAATGTACGTATGGAGCTATAGAAATCTGTTTATTATTCTTTATAAACAATATAGATAGTGCCAAAAATTTAAACCAGAATGTTAGACACTGTTCCTCAAATGGAATGCTCAACCAATTACAAACGAAAAACCGGAAGTTAGACAAACAAAGTACACAGTCCATGGAAGGCCGAATGAATTTTGTCGAGACTTAAAATTAGATAAAAAAATTATCTTATCTTTTTATCGCTATCTTGTGATATATGATAAATAATGTTATGAAAATTAAACAATAATTTACCGTTTAAATCACTGAATAGCAAAAAGTTTAAGAATCTTTGCCGTCTGCATTCTATGGTTTCGAGTAGAGCGGCTAGCGTGGTCATTCACCATTATCACACCATGTAAACAATATCGTTACAACACATCGGCTTGGCTATTGCTAACTATTCGTATTGGATCACGAGATCGCTATCTCGAGTCATTGTGAAACTCGTTATTTAATCGATTTATTTTCGATTGCCATTATTAATTAAAACATGGTGTATTTCCAAATAAACGATAAAGTACTTATAATAAATGTTAAATATGCAGTTAATGTCTTTAAATAAATTATTATTGACAAGTGATTATATGTAATAAGTAGATACATAATTTATTATGCAAGGCAGTGGTAGCCCAGCGGTGACGCGCTCGCTTGGGAAACCGAGTGAAGCGAGTTCAAATCCCAGGTCTCGCACCTCTGATATTTTCTTGTGCGAATCATTTCCAACATTATTACCACTTGTCTTAACGGTAAAGGAAAACATCGTGAGGAAACCTGCATGTCTGAGAGAACCTAGTAAGTTATCAAAAGACATGTGAAGTCCGCCAACTCGCACTTGGCCAGCGTGGTGGACTATGGCCTGATCCCCGTCGAATTGAAGGGAGGCCCGTGCCCTGCAGTGGGACGTTAAAAAGGGCTGAATACATACATATAATTTATTATACCTTCAATCGCAAAAGTAGACTTACTCATGAAATTTCTTGACAACAAAATGCTTTGTTAGATTTGATGACATGAAAATTAGATATTTTACGTAAGCTAGAGAATTTACATTATTTAACATTATTAACTTTTTTCTGTTTTAATATTGTACCGGTCGGCATTTCCGGTGCCATTTCTCTTTTCCATATTATGTATTTAATTTTGTAGGAATAAAACAAAATCTATAGATGGCAATATAATAAAATTCGGAGTCGAATTCGTACTATAAATATTTTTTTAAATCTTAATGAAATATTCATAATATTGATACGGAGGCCGAATCTAGATTTTTAAATTTTTTGTCTGTCTGATTATCCGGGTCAACATATAGGATGCTTTTTATCGTGTAAAAGTATCTCATCTCGGAGAAATCTATACTAAACATTAAAACCCTAAGTAGGGACGAACCCGAGCGGAGCGAGGGTGAGTCACTAGTTCACAATAAAACCGCAAAACAAATCCGAGAAAAATATTTTATATAATATTGTAGAAAACTGTTTTATTATCATTTACTATCACACTTGAATTATCACATCAAGGAAGCTATAGGTTGACACGTCTGGTAAAAGGACTTCCTCTGTTAGCAATCTATGCAAAACGTTATTAGGTCTTAACGACTATTACTGGCTGTTACCTTCCCGCATATTATTGGAGTAAGTTGTATTATTAATATAATTATTCAAAGTCAATGCACCTTTATTTATAACTAGCATTGCCCGCGGCTCCGCCCGCGTTCAGATGACCAAAAACCAAATTGTTAGGTTTTACATATTAGCATACTCTTACATTGCAGTTTTTGTATTTTTTCTCAAAAATGAGGTACTTTCCCGCAGTAAAAAGTGTCCTATATGTTGACCCGCTATCATCATACCAAATTTAATCAAAATCTGTCCAGTGGTTTTCTCGTGATGCGATAACAGACAGACAGACAGACAAAAATTCTAAAAACTATAGATTCGGACTCTGTGTCGATAATAATGTCTATTTCAATAAGATTTTCCAAAAAATATTTAATGTACAGATTCGGCTTAGTTACAATTTTATTATATGTATAGATTATACTTTATTTTTAACTTAACTTATTTTTATAGATCTAGATGAACATGATATAATATAAAATAACCATAAAAATACAGTTTTATAATATGAATTCAATTGTCATATAATCTGTAAAAGAAAAGGCGTTGTGTTGATATTTAAAAAAATATACATTTGCTGGCTGGCTTTGAAATTTGAAACTTGATCGCGGGATCCATTCCCGGACAGGGAAAGAAAGAAAGTTTATTATTAGTAGCGCTGAGTATCAATTATCGACGTATCTAGACACGTACTTATTTAGATTAATGTAGACTTACCAAAAAGACATATCTTTATATATATAATTCTTCTGTGTGTATGTCACTAAACTTCTCTCAAACGACTGGACCGATTTTGATGAAATTTTTTGTGTGTGTTCAAGGGGATCTGGGAATGGTTTAGATTCACAATTTGAATAATAATTTTCATCAAAAAATTATTAAAAAAAGTTTGAATTTTTCAAATTAAAGACGTGTAGACAGGACAACGTCTGTCGGGTCCGCTAGTCTACTATAATTTATAGATCCAATGAGTGTCTTAACGCGATCATAACTTACTTGTCTATCAAGTAATAAGTAAGTAAATGGTTATGTAACAAAAATTTATTACATATTTGGTTAAAACCGTTAATATAACAATAAACTATCACAATTAAAATTAACAATGTTGCAGTTTTTCTTTCCGTAATTTAACACAAAAATAAATACAAAAGCTTCACTGGTGCGTAAAAGAACACGGCTTTCACTTTTGTTATCTTCATCGACAACGTTTTGTTTTTGTTTGATGAAAAATAATTACTTAGCCTTATTTATTTATTTTTTTTTTTCATTTTATTTATAGATTTTTTACACAAATTTCTATTGACGTAAGTTGATGTTAATTGCTTGAAAATTATTCACTCCAAAACTAGTTTTGAAATGGCACGAAATAAAAGTTAAACGATAAGTAAATGTTAACTTATCGCCTAGTTACTTATGTAAGAATATTATTTTATTATTATTTAGGTATTTATGTCGTCTTACGGTGAAGGGAAATATCGTAGGAAACCTGCATGTCCGAGAGAATCTAGCACCTTTTCGAAAGACATGTAGTCCACCAATGCGAACTTATCCAGCGTGGTGGGCTATGGTCTGGTCCCCCTCAATATTTAAGGGAGGCCCGAGCCCAGCAGTGGGACGTTAAAAGGGGCTAAATATAATTATATTTATACGCCTATATAGACAGCGCTACTTTTTTCTTTATTGAGCTATCAAAACTTATAAAGAACCTAACGAAATTATAAGTTTATTGTTTAATATATTTTATTGATAACTAGCGACTCACCCTAGCTTGATTGGTTGATTCTCCATACAAACTTTCATCCCCATTTTCATCCCTTTAAGCGATGATTTCCGGGATAAAAAGTATCTATGTCCTTCCTAAGGTCTCAAACTATCTTCTTACCAAATTTCATCTAAATCGATTTATTAGATCCAGAGATTAACCCCTACAACGTCACAAACTCACAATTCACAAACTTTACCTCTTTAAATATTAGTTATAGATAAAACAAATATTTGTGAACAAATTTATAAGTTAATTGGTAAATTTATTTTATTGATAATAAAACAAATACTTGTTCAGTAAATGAAGCTATCAATACGTAAATATTCCCTAAGTCACGACGCTACTAAGGATGCTGTCAATCAAACGCAATTTACGTATCCCTTGCAGATTCACACGCTTCTGTCCCGTCTCAATTTATAAGCGACCAGCATTGCCCGCGGCTCCGTCCGCGTTCAGATGACTAAAAGCCGAATTCTTAGGTTTTACTTATTAGTATATAGTACATTGTATTTTTTCTCAGAAATGAGACATTTTCCCGCGGTAAAAAGTATCCTATATGTTGACCCGGATAACCAACTATCACCATACCAAATTTCATCAAAATATCTCCAGTAGTTTTTCAGTGATGCGGTAACAGTCAGACAGACAGCCAAAAATTCTAAAAACTAGAGATTCGGCCTCTGTATCGATAATAATGTCTATTTTGATAAGATTTTCAAAAAAATATTTAATGTACAGATTCGGCTTAGTTACAATTTTATTATATGTATAGATATTAAGTAGAAATAAAGTTCAAATTGAAATGTCGAATAACCTTGTCCGTAATAATATTGTAAAATGTAAAAGTGTTTGTCCACTTTGTCCTTAACTAACGGACACGCGTGAATTTTGTGTATAAGCATAGCTTATGGGATAGTAAAAAGCTTGGGTTATTAGTTATCCCGGTATCCAATTATCCTGGTATCTACTTATGCTTGTTGCAAGATACTTAGTACTCTTTAAGCGAATCGAAGTCTCTAGTTTTCTTCATAAAGGTCGACCAGTGTACTTGTAATTTTATTGTAAATATTCGACCTTACGTTTATAAATATAGTGGTATAGATTTTTACTTTTTCTGCCTTTCGCTACATAATTGTCGCGTGCCAAGGGCAACAGAAATGCTAAATGGATCAACATTATGAATCAGTCTTTGATTTTTAATCTACACAAATACTGAAAAGAGGTAATGTTTGTAAGTTTTTGTGTAAGAGGTATCTCTGTAAGTACATACTTACACCGATACTTGAAATCGATCTTTAGCTGTATATTATTTAGTTAAAAGACTCTTCGTCGAGAATTTCGCAACGCAAGTCGACGAGAAAAATGAAAAGAAATCGCGATATGCGCACAGTTATTTAGAAAATATATATTTTGTAATGATAAAGCCTTAACCTTCGTCTTTGAATAATATATAATAATTTTATATAGTTTGCATTTTGCTGGCACATATTTTTTTGCCTAAACGGTACCTATACAATTCTGCGTTGTCCGCGTTACGTGTTTTCGGTTGAGGTTATCGACACTTTCCAACGCACTTTTGTTGTAACCAAAGTATTAACAAGTTTAAAAATATTAATATTATAAGAAGCTTAAAAATATTAATATTGTTTAAATAAAAATTTAATACTTCAATATTAAGTATGGAAGCTATAGTTTCTCATTATATTCTTAATTTTTTTTCTAACAACAAGTTTGAACTTTGAGGATAACATTATGCGTGAGAATAATTTTCAGCAAAAAATTACAATCGTAATATATACTATTCAAGTCATTAGGGCGTGAGCGAGTCGAGAGTGAGTCGCTAGTATGAAAATAAATCTGTTTAAGTTTTATTTTATTCATGTATAATAATAACAATAGGCAGTGGTAGTCCAGTGGTAATGCGCATAGGAAAACGAGTGAAGCGGGTTCAAATCC